TTACACAGGTTAATTACACAGGTTAATTACACAGGTTAATTACGTACTTACATTCTGACATTTCTCATTAATAGTGTGGGAAACTACATAAGCAGTCCAGGGGCCCGTTGTCAGAAAAAAAATTTGTCTTAACATTAGTCTTAACATTAACAATTTCTCCTAGACCGTCGACATCACTTTGTTTCGTATTGTTATGAGGAAATCTGCTACGATTTTTCATTCTCGTAACTAGTTTCTGTCGATGGTCTAAGAAAAAAAGTTAATGTTAAGACTTATGTTAAGATCAATTTTGTTTCTGACAACGGGCCCCAGGGCCATAGCCTGCGGGGGAGGGGCAAGGGGGGCAGCTGCCCCCACTAGATTTTGGAGCAAAATTAAAAAAATAAATTGTTCTACTAAAAGAGAATTGTCGTAGTCAGAATGAAGGCTGTACATGCACTCAAAAGTGCCTCAAATACCATCTGCTCCTACGATCTACATTTTCAAAATTTTCTGTGGGAGGACCCCCAGACCCCCCACCTGTTTCTGACCCCTTCCTTGAAATCCTGGATCCTCCACTGCCCCCCCTAGGAATTTGCTCAGCCTATACGGCCCTGAACACTGCATTTTACACTCAACCTCCGCTCACCCTCCCCCCACCCTATAGTATGAGAAACTTAATTGATTGAAACGGTACGAGCACCGACATTTCAGCCGGCATGTAAGGCAAAAAAAAATAGGTGTGTTTCCTATTGCATCGAAAACAAAAGTAGGGTAGGTAGTAGGTAGGGTTGTTTTTTTTGTTTTGTTTTTTTAATACAATTCTACAGGTGTTTGCTAATTCGACATCTTACATGTTATAAATAGGATTCAAATCCGATGTTTGTATTCAAAAATCAAGTTTTGTCTGTCAGATTTCAAAGATTTTTTATTTTTTTTGGAAAAAAAGTTTAGGGTCGGCCATAATAATCTAGGGACGGTCGGTCGACCGGAAACACACCTACTTTTTTGTTTGGCCTAACCATTCTTCGCGCGATAAGCGAGGACTCGGTTCCATCCCGGCCTCTATCCGACCTCGGTCGCTTCCGGTGTGCAGGCTAATTAAACTCCATTTAATTGACTGTATTATATTTTAAAATTAAGTTTTGAGTTCTTAGATGCCTTATTCATCTTTGTTTGAGTTCTTAGATGCCATATTCATCCTTGTTTTGGTTTTGCCTGGCATTGCCCTTTGTATTAATATGACATATAACTAGGCCAATATCCATATTGTTCCATCTACCCAAACGCCTTAGCTTCGTAAAAGACGTATTCCATAGCTCTCTTTTCTCCGTTTCGAATCGAATAGATAACGTTAGTGTATAATGGTGGCCATTCTAAATACAAGGCGCCTTTTTAAAATATAATACAGTCAATTAAACGAAAAAGAATAGAGGGGGCGGTGAGCGGTGGCTCCACCTACCTGCAGGGTGCGTTGCCGCTGTGACTGCTGGATGTGCGGTGAGCGTCGGCTCTTGAGGAAGTTCACCAGCTTCTCGCGCTGGCCTGAAACAACGATGACACGTGACAATCTGAGCGTATGTTTCGCGGATGTTGTTTTTAGCATCTATAGGGTATTTTTCTGGGGACTAATTTAATCATTAATTAATTAAATCATTAATTAATTAAATCATTAAATTAATTAAATCATTAATTAATTAAAATCATTAATTAATTAAATCCTTAATTAATTCATTCATTGTGGTTAGCAGCATGGCTAGCCGTAGAGTAGTAGCGTCAAATCCGTGTACATCTCTGTTTTATACCTAAATACCAAGCTATATTATACATACACTCTGCTGGAACAAAGGAGTTACAAATGCGCGTGACCTCACCCTGGCCCACAGGGTGCCTGGTAGCAGGTGCAAGGTGGAAGGCGTACCTGAGTGTAGCAGGTGGAAGGCGTACTCTGGCTGGGACTCGCTGCTGCTCTCTCGCTCGTAGAACTCGGCGAGGAGGGCGTGGTAGCGCCGCGCCGTGTCCCCATCCTCGCACAGCTTCTCACGGACGATCTGTGCACAGACAAACACACGCATGTAGACGTCGCACAGAATGTCGCACAGAACAAACACAGCATGTAGACGTCGCACAGATTGGTCGCACAGACCAAATCACAATGCACGGTAGACGTCCGCACAGATGTCGCACAGTACCAAACACATGCCATGTAGACGTCGCACGTATGTCGCACAGACAGAGCCAACACACGCATGTAGACGTCGCATCAGCGATGTCCACAGAGAAACACGAACGCATGTAGACGTCGCACAGATGTCGCACAGACAAACACATGCACGTAGACGTCGCACAGATGTCGCACAGACAAAACAACCACGCATTAGTACGTCGCACAGATGTCGCACAGAGAAACTACACGCTGTAGACTCGTACAGATGTCGGCACAGACAAACACCGACGCATGGTAGAGTCGTAGCATATGTCGCACAAGACTGCGTAAACAGATTCGCACAAGACAACACACACGCAATGTAGATGTCGTACATGATGTCGGCACAAGATGTCGTACAGATGTCGTAGCAGCACAAACACACGCATGTAGATGTTCGCCACAGATGTCGTACAGATGTCAGGCACGACAAACACGAAGCATGTAGACGTCCGCAACAGATGCGCACAGACAAAACTCACCGCATTGTAACGTCGCACAGATGTCCCGCACTAGCACAAACACAACAGCTGTAGACGTCGGCACAGATGTCGCACAGACAAACACACGCATGTAGACGTCGCACAGATGTCGCAAGCAGATAACAACAGCGCATGTAGACGTCGTACAGATCGCGTACAGACCAACACACGCATGTAGACGGGCACAGATGTCCGCACAGACAAACACACGGCATGTAGACGTCGTAGCAGATGTCGCAGCAGCGACAGAACACCATGCCACTTAGATCGTCGCACAGATGTCGCACAGACCAAACACATCGGTTTAGCGCCTGGACTAGGCCCGCATTAGACTCGCACAGATGTCGCACAGAAGGAAAACACACGCAATGTAGACGTCGTAACAGATGTCGCACAGACAAACACAAGCGTCGGCCATGTAGATGTCGAATATTGTCGTCAGCAGACGTCGTACAGATGTCGCACAGACAAACAACAACGGGCTTGCGGTCCGGCCGCATGTAGATGTCCGTACATATGTCGCAACAAGATGTCCGTACAGATGTCGTACAGACAAAAGCACGCATGTAGATGTTCGCACGAGATGTCCGTACAGAGTCCGACAGACAAACACAGCGCATGTAGAAACGTCGTAGATGTCGTACAGATGTCGCACAGACAAACACACGCAGACGTAGACGTCGCACAGATGTCGCACAGACAAACACACGCATGTAGACGTCGCACAGATGTCGCACAGACAAACACACGCATGTAGACGTCGCACAGATGTCGCACAGACAAACACACGCATGTAGACGTCGCACAGAAGTCGCACAGACAAACACACGCAT